AATGTGGATAATGCGCATGGCGGGAGACAACTCCCGCAGCCACTACGAGGCGTTCTACTCCGTCCACTTGTTGGCCAAGCCTACAGTGGTCGCGTCCATGCATTGCTCCTTCGACCATCGACGATCCGTCGTCCGCGCCATGAAAGCCGTCACCAAGAGGCTTGGGAAGGCGAACCCCACGTTTGGCGAGCACCCCAACTACATCACTCAATGGGCACCCTGCGGCATTACTTTCGGCCACGACGCCAGCTTAACGGGCCCGGAGGATTGCAAGAGGCTTGATTGGTTGGGCTCGGGCCCCCCCAATGACGACGGCGACGACGACAAGAAAGAAGGCGCGTAGGGGGTGGGGCGGCGGTTGTGATAGTCCTCGAGCATGTCCACGTGGCACATCGACGTGAGGGGCTTCACCGCGGTTGGACCGTCGCGCAGAGAGAGAGAGAGAGAGAGAGAGAGAGAGAGAGAGAGAGAGAGAGAGAGAGAGAGAGAGAGAGAGAGAAAGAGAGAGAGAGAGAGAGCAGCCAAACAGGGTTGTTGAGAGTGGTTGCACAGGTGGAAGTGGCTGGCCATCATGGGCGTCGCATGGAACTGGGACGGTGCGTGTTGCGCGGCTGCTTAGTGCGGGGGTAGGAGGGATTCCCCAGGAGCGTCGTCGGTGGCGGAGTTGTATAGTGTGTTGGTCGTGGCATGTCGAGGTTAGTGTAGGTCGTGGTTTGGCATTTAGAGTTGGACTCGATCGTGCATGTCGAGGTTAGTGTAGGTGTTTAGCTTGTCTGTCGTTGTAGTCGACGACGACTGCGTTAGTTCGAAACGTGTTTTGTGATTCTATCATCGCAGTTAGCTGCGGAAGAACTTCATAGCGCTTGCAGCGCACACTTTTTATCCTGTCACGTGTCCCTTCTTTTCGTGTCTTCGGCCGCAGACGTGCGCAGATTGACCATTCTCTGTTCGCGTGTTTTTTGTTTGGAAGGTCATGTATTGCAGGTGTTGATTATGATTTCAAAAAACGATTTGTTTTCTATCGTTCCTGTTGTGCACATTGGCCACAGCACATGGGTCACACATACGTCGAATGTTGCATAAGCAGAATGTTTGCGCACCTTCAAGACGAACCTGGAAACACACCCCCGTGCCACCTTCTGTCGGGTGTCGAAGCGCTCCTCGTTAGGACCTTGGTCTATTCCTCCATACGACTGCACGATCCATGGACAGGCAACATGATAACCATTGTCGCCCAGCAGGTATCCTCGTGTGACGACACCGTGCGGCAAATTCTCTGGAGCTGCGTCGAAGAGCTCGCCAGTCTGCGCGCGCCTCTAGAGCTGGGAATTGTGCAGGACGCGGACGTCGTGCACACTCCCTGGGTATCCGACGTGGAAGTCGAGGATCTGGAGATCCAAATCCACGACGACCTGCGCCTGCACAGAGAACTTGTGGTTGCGGTCGTAGTAGTTGGTAGAAGGTGCGCCAGTGGGCTTGTGGATGTAGATGTGTGTGCAGTCGATGGCGCCGAAGCAGTTCGGGAATCCCCTGTTGAGGAAAGCGCGGAGAATCTGCACATGTCTGCGGCCCACTGGCCACTTGATGGCATCGGGGTACGCCCGCAGCAACGCCGAAGTGACGTCGCGGACGGCTTGCAGTCCAGTGGCCCTCCCGATGCTGAAGGCTGAAGTGCCACTCTCGTACATCTTCCCGGACGCCCACCTGTACAACGCGAAAGCGATAAACTGCTCCGCTGGCAATGGCGTCCTGTAGTGCGCGACCTTCTTCTCTACGAACGCGGCAAGAGCGGCTACGATCTGCTTGAACATGGCCATCGACATGCGTAACTTTTGGCGGTAGTACTCTTCCGTGGCGTCATCACACTGCCGGAGGCCCTCCCATGTTCTGCCAATACGTCGTTTAATCCACCATCGCGGGGTCTGCCAGGGGAAAATGCCAGACGACAACGCGGCACACAACTGGACCACTGCCTCACACGTCGCCACGCAATCCGCCGCTTCGGCAACGCTCTGCAATTGCGCTCGTCGTTTACGGAGCTGCTTCGCCACGTCTCGTGACGACGACGCCATCTCGTTCATCGTCTTCAGGACGACGGTAGACACCGCCATCGCCACCGCCTCCATCTCTTCCGCCCGCAGACCGTGGCCGCAGCCGCCGCCATCCATCTCCGCAAATCGCTCACCCGCTATACCTTCGCTCCTGCCGCAGCCGCCGAAGACACGCCCGCTGCTCAGCGTTGCCACTGGACACCACGCACACTGTGTGGCCCGAAGACGTCCCGCAGCTGTGCACTACCTCAGGAGATGGAACAACCGCGATGCCGAAGACGCGCCCGCTGCTGTACGCTTCCACAGCGAAGGCGACGGTACTTCCGTACGTTAAGATGCGCCAAGTAGGAAGATGGGCCGCGCGCCTCACAATTCCCGCGTACAGCAAAGCTGGTTACCCACGGCGAAGGGGCCGCCACCGCCGTGTCTTGTACGTCACACGCGTCGCCTTGCCGTCCTCCAGCCCGCCAACCTGCGTTTGCCAAAATTCGAGTTTCAAATTTTGAAGGTCTCGGCAAGCGCGCGCTTCACCAACCCGTCGGCACCCGCCCAAGGCCCACTGCAGTGTGGACCACGGACACCAGCCAGGACTGGACGAACATCCCCGACGCGGCGGCGTATACGTGTATGAAAACGGGCCGCGGGAAACCTTTTAGGACGATTCCTAAAAGACGATTTTTAGGACTACGTGTAACGACGCCGCGCGAAATCCTAAAAAACCTTTAGGATTCTTTTACGAGTGTCTAACGGGACCCTTATTGCTGATCCAGACCACCTTAAGTCTCGAAATTAGAAATTCAGCAAGCAAATCATTCAACAGCGTTTCCTAAAAATTATTGTCGCCAAATCTAGAATGGAGGACTTACGGACCCGGTCATCAAATGTAACTTCAACGACCGTAGGAGCTAGATAACGAAAACCAGATACTTTAGTCGGCACCCTGCCTACTACCCCCTTTAGAATGGTCTGAGACTTATCTTTATGAAGAAACTCAATTGAGTCGTACAATTTTATCAGAGAATGCAAGCTGGCCTTATTTAGCCCAGCCCTTGTCTTCGCCGACTCTTCAGTACTTGGAGCAATGAGGCTAGTATATCACGCCTAATCCCGGCGGTGTCTTTCTTCCTCAGATAAATAACGTGGAACTCAGTCGGTACACCCATGAACTGTTGAAATACAGACCTGAGTTCGAATCCAGCTACAATCAGATGACCAGAATAAAATGGTTCGGAATTACTTGGGGCTGGTCAGTTTAATGATGGTATCTCAAGGCCGTGACCTTTTTGTATTAAAAAAGTAAAAATAAAAAAAATCAAGATCCCACATTCTTCCCCAGTAAGGGGCCAAAATGCTGAGAAACTAAGGGCCAGATCCCGCTGGCAAAGAGGATTGGAATAAGTGTCTGAATCAGGACATGTTCCAGGAAGAGATGCAGACAAGCAGAATCAATTAAACCACCGGTACTTGGCCCAGCTATCCGGAAAAAAAAAAGAGTAGAAACATTTCTAGTCAGATGAATTTGGCCCAGCCACTGTTGATAGTGAACTCTATGCATGATTGCAAAATCCCCCCGTTTCATTAGATGGCGTCGCGATGCAGATAGCTCCCGACTTGTTTGATATCTCCATGATGCCCTCAGGACAACAGAAAAATTTCCCAGAATTAAATATTCATTCTATAGTAAAATTACATTCTAAATTTCAAATTTTCATTCCATCTTAAAAAATATCATTCCAATTTTAAAATTTTTCGTCTTACATTGAGAACTTTCCTTCCAAGAATGGGGTATCCTGTATTATTTGAACTGCACGCTAGAGATGAAATGAAAGTCTGAATGAGTTCATGAAATATTTTAATTGGACTGTAATTCTAAGTAAGGATTTTCAGTCATAAATGGGTTAATCTTATTTAAATGAGAAGATATTTGTTGTAGTAGAATGAAATTTTAATTAAAACATTTCATAAACTCGTCCAGACTTTCATTCCATCTTGAACAAATAGATGTAGTTGGAAGAGAAAGCTCATATTTAGACGGAAACTTATCAAATAAAGTTGGAAATTTTAGAATTGGACAAACATTGGAATGATAACTTATGAATATGACGGATTTTTTTTTTATGGAATGTTTTTTCAACTTTCATTTCTCGTGGGAATTTTTTTGTTGGAGCGTCCGCCACCGTTGTGAATGTCACCGAACTCAATGTTTGATTGTTGAGCACCATGGTACCAAACAATGTGGCACCATAATACACGCAGGAGCAGTCAACATATTTTTGGTTGTTGAATGGTTTACGCTTCGACGGATGGGTGGAGCAGGATGGGGTAGCGAAGGACCTGGTATGGTTTATGAGCAGTTAATCCCCTGCTTGGAGGGCAATTAATGTTGCTCATCATCAGAGGTCCTATTACGCCCACATATTACAAATCTTCACAGTCTTTTATTTACATAATTGAATGATTACCATGTCAAGGGACGCTGGGCCCGTTTTCCAGCAGGTAAAAAAAAAAAAAAAAAAAAAAAAAAAAAAAAGGTTGTTGAATTTGATTTAGTTGCTAGTTCCCATTCTATTGTTGATGATTTTGATGAATTAGTCCATGTTGTACCCAAGAGCCTAACTCAGTGGGTACACCGAATGAACTGTTGAAATACAAACCCAAGTTCGAACCCAGATTGATGAGTAAAAATATTTTTGAATTGCCTAGGGTCGGTCAGCTCAAAGATGATATCTCAAGACCGTCACCCTTTTGAAAAAAAAAAAAAAAAAAAAAAAAAAAGTCCGTGTTGTTGATGATTTTGATGATGTTAATAGCGTCATTACTTGCAAGGGAAAAGGGAGTCTCCAGTTCTTTAAGGTAGTTCGACCATAGCCCTGGAAACAACAATAAAAAAAAAAAAAAAAAAAAAAAACTGCAATGGATTTAGCGATATTGAGCTGATTGATGACACTGGGGCTCGTTCAACACTCCTTGGGGCGTCCTCGGGGTCCAAGGAAGTTTCCTTGGGGGTTTTCAAGGAAATTCCCGCCATCGTTCCACCTGTTCTCGGGAACGTCGCCCGATGATATTTCCTTGGAGCGATGTCAGACAAGAAAAAGAAAAGAAAAAAAAAAAATCAAATGTATTTGAGGCCTTCAGCCAATAGGGTGCCGCCACGATCGAGATTCTTGGTTGTAACGTCTCTCTACCCATGTGCCCGGTCCTTTCCGTGAAACGCTGATTCCTTTTGCCCAAGGGACCTCGTGAGGTCCCTTGGGCAAAAGGAAGAAACGGCTCGGGAATCCTCGGAGCCCAAGGAATTTTWCCTTCGGAGTGTTCGGAGTTTTTTCACTTTTTTTTTCTCCGACTGCATCCCCGAGGATAGGTGGAACGAACAATTCCTCGGGGAATTTACGTGCCCGAGGAGTGTCGAACGAGCCCCACTATCTTTATCGATGTTGTTGTTGATGAAGCAGTCGGTGATGGCAGCTCCGTTGTTGTCCCCAACACTGGCAGAGATTGCTCTGCTGATGGTAGTGAGATCGTTGCCACCCGCTCCTTCATAGCTTCGCCGTAATCCGTGCCTTCACTGAAAAGCAGATTGCAACTGGTTATTAAACCACCAGTACCTCGCTCAGCTATGGGCCGCGGGCCTTCCCGTATACGCGCCACAGCCTTAGGGGGGTCGGCCGAGGGAAGGCCCGGTCGTAGCGCGGACACCGGGCCCGCTTCTGTAGGGACGACACACTGACAAAGTAGAGAAAAAAAAAAAAAGGAAACAAGAAAAAAAAATTAAAA